GTTAGAATAATTTTTAAGTTTATAAATTAGCCTAGTATAAATATGGTGAGAAATTATAAGCCTAAAAAGGATACTAAGTTTCTAGAAAACAAAATTAATGAATTTCTTTTAATGATTGAAAATGAAAATTTCAGTGTGAGAGCTGCTGCCAGAGCTGTTGACATTCCTTACTTAACTTTACACTTTCCTTTAATGAAGTTAAAAAATTCAGCAAAAGTAACCCATGTGAAAACTCTCTTATATTTCAGAAGAACATGAGAAAGAGTTGGCTGATTGCCTAAAATGTATGGCACGATGCAAACATTTTTGAAAATTTAAAATGTTAATCGTTCTTCTTGCTTTTAAATAAATCATTTTATTAGCTGCTTAAACATAGCTTTTTGGTTTATTTGTTTGATCTTGATGTCTTATTTGTTAATTACCATTATATAATTATTTTTAAACAGCCCCTTTACAATAAAAACTGGTGATCAGTAATTACCCCAGAAGTGATCAGGAATTACCCCAGAAATGATCAAGACCAGGGGTAATTCCTGATCACTGAAAATTTAAAATCTTTTAAATTCTAATTAGATTTTCAAACAAAAGAAGGTGGCATTGGACTCATCTCATATAGCCTCAAACTTCCAGTAAATATTAAAATTCTATTTTGAATAGTTTTTTCACAAAATAGATGTTTGCGTTTTTTGATCAGGAATTACCCCAGGTCACCCTATTTGTTTCATTTTCATTTGTCTAATTCGGAGTAGAAGATATTGCCTTTACATGGTATTTGTCCATCTTACATTAATGTGCAAAAAATTTGAACGTCTTGCATGAAGAAACCTTACCTACGGTAAACACGTGGTTGCAGAGAAATGCTTTTTGAAAGAGGTTCTGTGGTTTCCAGGGATGGTGTTCTGTTGTTCTTAAAGGTTCTGAACAATACTGGTAAATAAGGAAGCTAGATAATGGGGGAGATGTTGAAAATAATGAAAGATACAGGAAGAAAAGTGAAACGGATTTTATTCTGAATGAGAAATTTTTTTTCAAAATGTGAGAAATTCGCAAATTTTGAAATTGGTTTATAGAATGCGCAAATTTCTAATGGTAATCATTTTTTAATGTGAGAAAAGATAAAAATATGCGAAATTCTCGCATTCTCGCGCTGTAGTGAAAACACTGGTATAAAATCAAGCTTTGTATAAAGAAGGCTCTAAAACCATTAAATTTATTTTACTGACAATTTTGATGCATTTTATATACATTGGATTCATATAGATTAAATATGAGGCATAACTTATTTATATTGTTTGATTTTTTGTTTTCATCAATGCATTTTGTATACATTGAATCCATATAGATTAAATATGAGGCATAACTTATTTATTTTGTTTGACTGTTTTCGTGGAGTAATGCATTCAAAACAACATGTTTAGATATATCCAGTATACCCCTGTCATAACATGGGTATTTTCCAAAATTAGTAGGTAGATATTACACTTTAAAGAACATTTGAAACTATTTTTTTATAATTAAAAATGCTCTTTAAATGTATAATGATTATATTTAAAAAGTAAAGCAAATGTTATAAGATAATTTTTTTTGTTTATATTAATTAGTTAAAGAGTTAATGTTCATGGTAATCAAAATAAGGTCTCACTTTGGATGCTGTATATTTTTCTGAATTCTACAATGAATGCTCATTTATATTTTCAAATATGCCCACTAGGTTGTAGCACCGTGTTATTTACGTAATTTTTTTAATTGTATAATATGTCTCTTATATTGTTATTTCTCTCCTATCATTCTTCTCTTTTAAAAATGAAATTTAAAAGAAACTCTCTTTTAAGTGTTAAAATTATTATGTAGCACAATAATCAAACAAGTAAATTATTTTTTAGTTATTTCATTATAAAATACAGAACATTAGATAATTACTAATGGAGAAGTAGAAAAAAAAATATCCGTATCATACAACATTTAGCTAACCCTTTTTACCCCATCTCAGAAAGCAACTCATAATAAATAGAATTTTGAAATTATTCTTAAATTTCTATGTTGATCTGTTCTTTAGATGCCCTTTTACCAGTTTAAACTAAAATTAATAGTTTTTGCCATTTTTTAATGATATTAGAACAAAGTTCATCAAGAGCTTACTGTGCGATCATAAACATATAGTTAGTAAACATTAAATTTTTTATTAGTTTCTAAAACTGAAATTAAAATGCTTGCTGCAATCTCAGTAAATGTCTCTAAAAATATTAAACAAATTTTCTGAATTTAAAAGGAAAAAATTGATTATTTTTTCTTAACATATTCCCACTTTATCCCACCCGACCCTATAAGAAATTACAAAGTTTCTTATAAATTTAATATTAAGTTGATAAGTTAGTGAAAATACATTTGTATTCTTTTGTTAGTGATGCATGCCAGTTATTTTTAAAAATATATATATTTTTTAAAAATAATTAATTTTTTTAAATAACTAATTTTTTATATATATTAATTAGCCAGAATATAGATGTTATTAAAAGACTTGCTTTGTGTTTTTGTGATTTGTTTAACCATCTGAGCATCAGTCCTACCTTCAGAACTTTCAAATGCAGGCATTTCTGGATCTAAAAACCGTTTCCCCATCTTATTGAATGGGAAAATAGTGAGCAGCAGGATAATACTGCTCAATTTTATCCAGGGACTCAATGCTTGGAGGTTTAAGGACTTTTTTTCCATTCAGAAGGTATATTAATGTTTTTAAATATTCATTATAGGTTATGTCATCAAGTTTATTACATTGGACCCGGTTAATAATAGGAGGCTTGTCTATTCCCTTGGTTTTTCCTTTGCTAGTTTACAATTTATATCGTTATCATTTTAAGAATAAAATATTCAGAGATCGATCCCTTGAAGATAAAGTTGTTTTAATCACAGGAGCTAGTTCAGGACTTGGTGAAGGTATGTACTCTATATTAAAATACTTTCAAACTAATTTAGATGTGTTCTACAATGTTATTTAGTGAAATTTTATTATTTCTTAATGAAGATGAAAACTAAAAATTGTTTGCATTTCTTATGAATTTTGAAGTTGCCTTGTAATATTTATTTATAGAATTATATGTGTGTTTTATGTATGCCATGATTACCAAAGTATTTTGCCATGTAAATGTGTTTTGTAGTAACTGCATTTTTAAACACTTAAAATCTAAAATTTTTTTTAAGTGATTAACATTATAAGGCTACAAAAGGTTGATATGATGCTTTTTAATTGTTTTTGGCTTTTAATTTTTTGTTTTAAACTGTATTTTACTTCCTGAGCCTCATTCTTAGCTTTTTCCCAACTTTTAGTAATAGGGTTTACTATATCAAGAAGCAGTTTTCTCTATGTTTTTCAATAGGAAAATGAAAGTAATATCAGTAAGAATTTGCTCAAGATCTCAGCTCTTGGAGGGTTAACCCATAAATTTTATTAATATGATATGCAATATTTAACCAGCTCTCTAATTTTTTCTCTATTTTACTCTATTATTTTTATTTCACGCAAGTATTTAGGGTGTCCAAAAAACAATGAAAAATTAACAAACAGATGATGCATGTAGTTGCTATATTAATACAGGGTTGCTACTCCACAGGGAGAACAGGGAAAACCTGGAAAATACAGGGAATTTAAAAATCACCTAAAATAACAGGGAAAATACAGGCAATTTTGATTTTTTCTTTACAAACTGGGAAAATACAGAGAATTTTGTTTTTTTATTTTGGTCTTTTAAAAAATGGTGACCACTCAAAGCGTAATCTATGGGATATTTAACCATGATATTTCAGTAATACAAAACTATTTCATTACCATCTTCTTGCTTGAGCTTGTCAGATATGTGGCACCTCTGCATGTGTTGCATTTTGTACCATGCTCCAAGCCCAATTTTTGTCTTCGGTCGCCTACTTCGTTTATATAGTCTGACAGTCCCTTAATGGAGTTAAGGTGAAGCTCTTTAGGATATGGATTGCCTAAGATAGTGAGGCACGTAAGGGCGAGGGCATCACACTCGTATAGGATGTGATGTGCTGATTCTACCGCTTCACGGCATTTCCGACATATTGGTTCTTGTTCGAAAAGTCCCATTCTATGTAGATGTTTCCTGAAATGATAGTGCCCAGTGATGATGCCTACAATTGTTTGAATCTTCAATCTTGGGAGCCTAAGAATTTCAGAGGCAATTCATTTACCATAGCATTATTTAAGTATGTTCAGCTGTTTTTCCAGCAGTTGAAACTAATAAATATAGTTAGCCCAATATAGCTCACACAAGAGCACAGTAATTGTTGTTTCCTCTTAATATATTGCGTATCACATGTACAGGGAAAACACTGATAATTTTTTTTCCAGATTTGAGTGGCAACCCTGTAAATATCATTCCATGAAGTAAGCTTATTTGTGAATGGAATTATCAAATCATAGTTAAATTCACTAAATTCATGCTAATGAATTGTTTGTTCTTTGTATTGGTCTTTATCAATTATTTTATTGATTTTGAATTTTTTATCATAACTGCCTAAAATTGTAAAGCTTGTTCTTCTTTTTTAGCATAAGAAAATCTCAAATGAATTGGCATATTTTTGGTAAATGCCTTTTCATTTAATAATTTCAATTTCTGAAAGAAATATATCCTTTTTCCTTCAAAATAGTGTTGGTTAGCTGAAAAAAAAAATGGAAGGTCTGTCCCCTCATATTATTTATGCATATGCATCAGGTGTCTGTCTAGGTTTTTCTAATAGGTACCTATTTTGTGAAAATTTAAACATAATTTGTGACAAAATAAAAATTACATTAAAAAAACTCAGCACAAAAATATGTATTTGTCGTTTCTTAAGGGATACAAAAATAAAATTTTAAGAAAAAGTATTTTGTGAAACAACCGTTTTTCCTAAAGTTGAATTTGTGAAACTACCGTTTTTCCTAAAGTTGAATTTGTGAAGGTACGGTTAAACGGTAGTAAATTCGGACTGAACAGACCCCTGTACATGCATATAAATCATTAAATTAGAATTTTTTAAATATTCTATTCCATACTTTTCTATTCTTTCTGATTTTATTATTTTTTTTATTTCCATGTAAAACAAAAACTTTGAATTTTGTTATCAATTCTGTTGACCTCCTCCTGCTGTTAACAGTTGAGTTAAGTTAACAGTTGAGTTAAAAAGGTAAAAATTAAGATCAAAATCATTTTTTTTAGGAAATTGTAATTACGAAAATTGTAATTAAAAGTATTACCATGAAGTATTAATTATTTTAATGTGGCATATTTGAATTATGTAATTTTTATGTTTATACTTAGAAACTGGTTACTAAAAAAATATAAACAATAAATGAAAACATAAATGCACTACTAGCCTTTTATTATACTATTATTGCAATGAAGTAAACTTTTATTTCCTGCAGTCTTATAGTATAATTAATTTTATTTATGCTAAAAATGTTTCCTTTTGAATTAATTTTTGCATTTAATGATGTTATTTAAGTATTTCAGTTTCAAAAAATTTTAATGTTTTTTTTAAAATTTGTAATCTAGCTTTGTCACATGCTTTCCACAAAGCTGGTTGTAGAGTCATTTTGGCGGCTAGGCGTAGAGATGCCTTGGAAAAAGTTAAAGAGGATTTGATGACGAATGTAAGATAAAATGAAAAGTTTCATTTTAAATACTTAGTTGTGTAGCATAGCTAACTAAACACATGATTTTCACTCACTATGTAATGACAAATTGTATCTATCTTAAATAATATCTAACACTGAAGTGCCACTGAATTACTCTCATTGTACTATAAAATGTTAAAGGTGACCAAATTTTCCTACTCTCCACACTTTCCCCTACACCATGTTCTTGGTTTCAATAAATCTTGCTCTTTTCTGTTGACAGTATGCTTCAATCAGAAGTATATACTTAGTTGGACAAAAATCAAGATTTGTTGAAACCATGGATACAGAGAAGGGGAGAGTGGGTAACCTTGAGATGCCAAATCTATTTACAATGAATATAGGAAATGGTGCAGTGCTGCACAAACTATGGAAATTTTATTGTGCTGTAATTTATGTACACACTAGGACTTTGATGTAACTGCATATATAGTTAGCATTATAATTCTTGTTATATAAATTAGTCGTTTAAATTACCATTGTAGGTAAAACTTCTAATTTAGACGCCTTTAGTAGCTGACAAACAATAAGTGCTTGATGCATGGTCTATTTCAATTTTCAAAAGTATCAGAGATTAAGAATTTTAAGCTTCATCTGTTTTAAGAGTGTGCCAAAAATGTGTGGCTGGTGGTGAAAAAAAGACTAGTGACTAGGCGAACTGCTATGAATAATTAGCTTATAAAGAGATTGATTTAAAACAGCTCAAGTGTATTGTATGTAGCTACCAAAGTTAAATATTATCCTAAATAACCATTCACTGATTAGCAACAATCACAGTAATTACTAAGTAGTTACCACAGCACTCTCAGTAGTGCATAAGTAAGATGCTGCATTTCTAAATTTTTCAAGGATTTCAGTATATATATATATATATATATATATACACACACACACACACACACTTGCTCTCTTCTGGATAAATTGCGAGTTTGAAATGTGACACTTTTTGAGCTTGATGGGGCACTTCACACATATTTCTTATTGACATAAACTCAAGGTTGCTGTTTTTTGACTTTTGTCACTTTCTTGTCAGGGTGCAATATATACACATAAAATAAGATCTTGCCTTAGTTTAAATATAGAAAATTTTTTAATGTATTTTTAATTATTTAAATAATGCTAATGTATTCATAATTTGTTATTTGCAAACCTTGACAAGGTAATATATTTTTCTGTATATAAGTCAACTTTTTGAACATCTAAATTGTAATAATATTTAGAAGGTCGTCTTTTACACGATTAACACATACCAACTCAAAATTATTTTTGTTTTAAAATCGGAGGCTGAGCAGAAAAAAACTAACTTAATCTATAAGCTATGCAAAAAGAAGAAAAGTAATATACTATTATTCAATCATGATAGCTATTCAGTTTATTTCTTCAAATAGATTCTAAACACATAATTTATGTAATTAATTTAATTTTTTTTGCATGCTCTTGTTTAACTTTAACTGCTGAAAGTATGTGCAACTCCATAATTCAATGATTTGTTTTTCTTTCAGTATCAGTCAAAACATATTCCTGCCGTTGTTACATTAGATCTACATGACTTGAAAACAATCTCAGAGAGAGCTCAGGGTACTATAAATATCTATGGACATATTGACATTTTGGTGAACAATGGTGGGATTAGTTATCGGGGAGAGGTATCTGATACCAGTTTGGAAGTGGATTTAAGAGTGATGGTGACTAATTATTTTGGACCAGTAGCTCTCACTAAAGGTTATTTCAATTATTACATTATGTTTTTTTTAACCCCTTAACTGCCGCGGGCGTATATATACGTCTCGGCCAGACGATGTGTTAACTGCCGCAGGCGTATATATACGCTTTCCCGAAGTACGATGCTTTGCATTGCGCTGCTATAAATAGAACTACACCCCCTACTTCAGAATGCAGTAAAATGGCCTTGAAAGTGTTTGCTTTGCGAATGTATTACTAATTTCGGAGGAGGGGGAATGGGAAAAGGATGTTATGGAAAAGTGATATCGTATTAATCGCTTGTGTGTATTTATTTGAGTAAGGTTGGGTTTATTCTTTTTTCGCTTTCGTTTCCCATATGTATTTGGTGCTTTTTATTCTTTCCATCAACGTCTTCAAAGAAAAATGCATCGCGAAAATGTGCTGTTTGTTCAAGAAAAAAA